CTATCGACAAGTAAATGACACCTAGACAAATAAATGCACATGTTCGCTTCTCACTATCGGTTTCCAAAAGCACTGTAAGGAAATATTTCATATTAAAACATCCACCTTATCTTAGACATTCCAGAAGGTACAAACAAGAAACGCAACTTGACTTATCGCAAATCGTCACCCTTAACTTCCAAAAATATTGACAACAGTACAACATCTAGTAACAACGGATAAACCGTACTACAGTAAACTACGGTTATAACGAAATCAAAGGGACCACTAATTTTAGTTCGTAATAACCGTAGTTCGCTATAAGCATATATACAGCATATATACAGCATATATACAGCATATATACATCAAATGGCCGGGACTAAAAATAAGTTCGCTATATCCGTCAGTTCGTTATAAGCGTGTTCGTTATAAACGTAGTCTACTGTATCAATATTTCAGCTTCATACGGTTAAATGATCCACAAAATAACACTAAAAACCTTATGATTTCAATATAAACTGATTGACAAAGATACGACGGAGACCACTTCACGGTCAAACCGACCACGACTACTTGGTCAAAATGACCATGAGAATAGAAACTCCTCATACTTGATGTGCGCGTTAGCGTTCATGACCACCGATCACATGCCCTTCGTTTTATCTGTGTCCAGTGTGGGCTTAGTGACCACTGAAGTGGACACCCGTTGTCCATAGTTTAGTAATGACCACTCGAGTCATACTCCACTGCCGCTCAAACCCCGAAGATATTGAAATTAAAGCCGGACCATGCTGTCTGAAAAGCATTAAAAGCGCGCCGTGCGATAGTAGAATAATGAGAAAAAGCCCACGACTCCATTGAAAGCAAACAGTTGATAACAAGGCTACAATAAAAGAAGCCATGCGAAAGTTTTCATTCAGTTAATGTCCCTGAAATGGTCAAATTATCATCTAACCCTTTATTTGCCCCTCTTGAAACAGCTTGCTGTAAAACAGCCCCCTGACCTACCTCTAGCCCGGGGCTTCAGTGTAACGATAGATGAAGAGTCTACCGCCAAAACATCAGTTACTACGGCCACTGTGATCTAACACTGACCAATACTGACCAGCAGGGTGGTTAAAAGGGGGTAATGGAGCGTGTTTTGGGGAGGTTACTTCTAAATCTGACCACTCATTACGTTGTGACAGCTTGACCACTGCAGCTAATAGCAGTGGCTGTTATGCCATCGGTGCTCTAACTGGACATGTTATCTAACAATCATGTTGCCATCACCAGCTGGTGTACACAAATTTGATCTGATAAAATAAATTGAAAATGACAGGTTAAACTATTTATAAATTAGATTTTAAATAAGAAATACGAGAATCATCTGGACGTTCAAACCAGTTTATGAAACACGCATCCCAGGGAGTAATTCAACATTGGTTGTTTGTTAGCCCGAGGGAAAATACATATTGCTTTTTTATGAGCTGAGTTGGTGACAAGTAAGTATTGTTTTACGACCACTGATTCACTGACAATGTGGTGCGGCTTTGTCTTGGGGATGAAATACACAGGAGATTTATGTGTAATCGGTGAGACTTTGTACATAAGGATTGATATATGGTGTTTGTGTGGTCACTAACAGATGGGCAGTGGCCAGAAGCAAGATAAACATGCGTCAACACACATTTGATTGACAGTCGGTGTTTTGAACGAGGTCTGATCAGAAAGCATTCCTGGTGATGCATTAATGACATCAAGTGTCAGGGGTGTAATTAGACCACGCGGACTTCACAATCGAAATGAGTGAGTGAGTATGGTTTTACGCCGCTTTTAGCAATATTCCAGCAATATCACGACGGGGACACCAGAAATGGGCTTCACACATTGTACCCATATCGGGAATCGAACCCTGGTCTTCGGCGTGACGAACGAAAGCTTTCACGACTAGGCTCCCCGACCGCCCCACAATCGAAATGATGAAATAGGAAATAATGGCAATATGGTACCATGCATGTTGAAAGAACAACGTGTGAATATTAAGTACTGGTATCTCAAACGTTTGGGTGCCATTTGGAACATTTTCTTACAAAAAACAATGCTTTTATATATCAGTTTGACTTTATGAACATATGGGTGAGTGAGTGAGTGAGTGAGTTAAGATTTAACGTCACATCGGCAGTATTTCAGCCATATCGTGACGATATGAACATATGAAGACAAACGTGTTGTGCTGAAAAGTTAACTTCAAAGAGAGATCGCCATTTAATCACGTGGAATACATGCACTTCCTGGTAACCGTCTTGCTACAGTGCATGTTTTATGTCCATGTGTTGCACGTACTGTTCATGCAAAATGTAGTATTCGAAGCACATGAGTGTTGTTTGGAGAACACGCGACGGTTCATGCACGTTATCTGGACATAAAACACACCGCCGCGCGCCAGTGTAGCGATACCACCCTGAATTTTGAACTACGATAAACCTCGTCCTGTATCTATTTAATAAACGATTACAACTAAAAATTTAAAAATCGTTCATAGTGTTAAGGTAGCCAAAGTTCAATACCCGTGGGGCATGCAAAGCTCACCATGTTCCGAACACTATTAATTGTTGATAGTATTTCATGAGACACGCTTTTGATATAGTCGGAATCGTATAATGGAGGCTTCTCATGGTTATGGTAAGTGTTTTGTCGCTTTTAGTTTCTGAAGTCGATTGTAATCTATTCCAAAATTCTTCTGGCCTTATAAATCTTGAAAAACGCTTATCGCGGAATATTGACATTGAATATAACCCGAAAACCAGTCTTGGTTATAACAATGGGCATGTCGAGTTAGCTGGCCATCAGCATGAGACGCATGTACAAACTGGACTACATACCAACCCTGCTATACATAAATACCTTTCCATATCGGTGGTCAGGGAAACATTACTATCACGATCGTATAGCCCACTGTGGATGACTCACGCTGACCATTGCCCATACAGGTCATCTACCAGGTCAGAAGGACCTTCATCACCGGCCAATGGACAAAGCATCACGCAGGGTCATCTCCTATTACACCCTTGGTGCATACATTTATCTATTGTCCACTGTCGGGGTGTACTGGGAATGGCATGTCGTTATTGTTAAATATGTACCAAACTCTAGATGCCCGTATGGGGTATGTCACTATAACCCGAATTACTGACAATGAGAACAATGAATCAGGCCAAAAAGCCATTGATACGAAATGTAAGGAAAGGCTAACCATATTGTCCACACACAAGTGTATGTGTATCATATCCTGACAAGATTAAAACTGATAGCTGTACAAAGTATAGGAAACCAGCCGCGTCATCTCCATGGTACAAGACAGTAAAATACACGTATAACCAATGTAACAGTAGATTTTATATAGAACTGACATGACAATCGGATTCTTCTAACGAGTATAATGGTGAATGCATGTACGTGTGGGTATTGACTATTTGAATTAAATTCATGACCTGTTGGATATGTGAAATTTAAGCTTAGCGACACGGAATGTACCTGACTATGTCACGTCACAAACCAACCTTTGACCCATGACACTGAAAACTGACCCTGCCGAATGTTCAGTGACACGACCCAGACATAATGTTAATAGAAACAGTTAGCCATACTGTTACATGGTGGCTATTAAGCCTGGACATAAAACACCGCCCCGTCCCATCCCCTCAGCATTGTACTGTGTGGTTCGTGGCATCCCTCTACCCCCTGCCGTAATTTACTCCCCCCCTGTGTGTGGGAACGTCCCTCCCCTTTAGGGCACCCCATTGATACAGGGTGTAAACTAATCAGCCATCTCATGTCTGATTTAACAGTCGATTAGGCATATTACAACACCCCTTCATCCGTCTGCTAAATGTACTCGTTTCAAAAACATAGTTTCACCAACAAACAGTATGTATGTACCCTTCGCAAGAACGTGGACCTGACTTCACGCTGTCTCAACATACATTTCCCCAGAACGTGGACGTGCCTTCACTCTATCTCAATATATCCTTTACAAGAACGTGGACGTGCCTTCACTCTGTCTAAACATACCCTTCACAAGAACGTGGACCTGTCGTCACTCTGTCTAAACATACCCTTCACAAGAACGTGGGCCTGACTTCACGCTGTCTCAACATACATTTCCCCAGAACGTGGACGTGCCTTCACTCTATCTCAATATATCCTTTACAAGAACGTGGACGTGCCTTCACTCTATCTCAATATACCCTTCACAAGAACGTGGACCTGCATTCACTCTGTCTCAATATACCCTTCACAAGAACGTGGACCTGCTGTCACTCTGTCCAAACATACTCTTCACAAGAACGTGGATCTGTCTTCGCTCTGTCTAAATATACCCTTCTCAAGAACGTGGACCTGCCGTCACTCTGTCTAAACATACCCTTCACAAGAACGAGGACCTGCATTCACTCTGTCTAAACATACCCTTCACAAGAACGTGGACCTGCATTCACTCTGTCTAAATATATCCTTCACAAGAACGTGGACCTGCTGTCACTCTGTCCAAACATACCCTTCACAAGAACGTGGACCAAACTAAACTCTGTCTAAATATAACCTACGGAAGAACATATACACAAATCTTTCCACACCCTGCCTAAACGTACCCTTCGCAAGGACATAGCGCACTCTACCTGGACCAACCACAAAGTACCTAAATGTGCCTTCGCAAGACCTTTGACATACCCACACACTATCTACATTCGCCCCTCGCAACAGTGTTAGTATCCCTCCTAGTTCAACTGTAACATTCCAACAGCTCAGATCCACCACCCCCTTCTTGTCCCCTCCCACACATGCATACGCCCTCCAAATATAAACACTCGTGTCGTGACACCCTGTTGCCCTCTACACTACCCCTTTAAGTGTCTTGCCAACCCTCCACCCTAATTGTTTTGGGGGTGTCTGTCAGGCGCCGTTTCAACCTGGCACTGATTAAAGAGAAAATGAGAATAACGCCAGTTGGGTGTATGACGTTGTGACGATAATCTTACCTGGATCCCACGTGCACAGGTCAGGGGTCAAGCTACCATTGACCCGGAAGTTCAAGACAGAATTCTATCAGCATCCTGGAAAATAAGAGAGGCCAGTGAGACACATTGTTAGTTTCCAACGAAACAAATTACATCAAATACATCCCATTTGTTTGTTACGCTTTCAGAATGAACGATAAAATGCACGAATGTAACCAAAATATCTATGAAGCAAGGTTATGGCGTTTAGAACATAAATGCATTGGTATGGTCGTCATGAATTTTAATAACGATATTGTGATGAATTTGCAGATGTATAACCGAGATATTGTTATCTGCAGCCGCGTTGCATGAACTGTTCCGCTACATTGTTTACGAAGCGTCATGTTTATTTGTTGTCGATTTAAACACTGCAATTTACATTGTATTTTACGAACACATAGTGACAACTAACATATGATCAAAGTTAACCTCCAAACAAAGTATTAAATAGAACGCAATATTTCGTTATTTTGTAATCTCAGATTAAACCAAGCGTCACTGAATTCAAACCGAATGAACTTTAAACAAAACAAACACTACAAAACGTGAACCCACACATGCTCTGACAAACGCAGCCATGTGTGACGACATTCAATTACACAAACCTGAAATTATCAATAAGAACTTACTGAAATTGTGGGGCTCATTGTCGATGCGAAATAATCACAATGACAGCTAAACTGTGCATGGCATTGCATCGCGGCAAAGGTATGACTTCAACACGAGATGCCCTGCGATGATGTAACAAGTAGAGATCTTAGCATGTTCAGCTCGGTCGTGACGCCAGGTAGATCAGATGGGTAACTGATTCACGTCACAGCAAAGAAAGATTCACCTGGGAGTGGTGACACCGGAATTACGCCATTTATCAAACTATTCTTCTATCAACTAGTTTCACTTTAATATCTCTACTGTCCTTGAATTAATGGGACTTGTGTCTCTCGATATGCCTTTTGATTTCTTTGAAAACTATTTTGCATCTATTACACGGGCGTTTAGCGCCATCTCAAACATTTTTTTGGATATATTAATTTTTGTAGAGCTTGATGATGCATCGATGATGGCGTTCTTATTTGGTGTTGTCTCGTGTTTGACATTGACGATGACAGAGTCTATCAATGGAGACTGGCGAATCCATAATAGGCTTTAAAGCTTACAGTGACTCATAAACCGCGTGTATGTGGTAAAAACTGCCACCAGAATGTTCAACAATGCACTTGCACTCTTAAACGATACAGAGATTCTCAGAAGTGAAGAAACAGAAGAAAATGTATTTTAAATGGAAAACCAAAACACCAGCGATGAGATTTAAGTAGCTTGGACACAATAAAAACAACTTTGTGAATAGTAAACAACGACAATAACAGTGTATATAAAGCATAAATATTTACCAGAAGCTGGTACAAGCAACACGGTAGGGATATTGCTCTGCATACTATTTCGTATAAATCCACTAAGCACAGGAGCAATGTGATTAGTGAGTGATATGGTTAATCTAATTTACCATTCCACAGACGGGCTATTTTCATTTCTGACAATCATGTGAACTTTGACCCAGCGTCTATTCTCACTCGAGCGTTAAAAGAAATGCGTCGACTTTGAAGCATTTACACCTGTATCAGCGTTTCCAATTGCATTATTCTACCTGTCGGAGATCACCTGAGCCAGGTGTCACCTACCCGTCACGCATTAAACACCCATATGCTCCGGACGATCACGTTCTTAATTAAATTTAAGCTTTCATTGTCAGACACTTGACTTTGATTCAATCTCCCCCCTCCCCCATCCCACCTGGTACCATAATAGAGGGGGAGGGGGTATGCTGATTACTGGCAAATGTCACTGATTTTATGCGACGTGAATACTTGTATCTTGTTCGAGAAATATCAAATTTCTGCAAAGTCATATTATATAATAGAAGCGACAAGTTGGATACTGCAGGCTTCAACAGCCAACATGGTTGGATAACTTTGACGTTTTTTTTATTATATCCATATATTGTAAGTAGCGCTTGATAACGAAAATATGATGACACATATTTTGTTATTAAGTCCGCATGAGGGTGTTCATGTCACTGAATCTGTTAAGACATTCTTTGTCCATCACTTGGGTACAGAGGCAGTGTAACGTATTGGTATGGGTACCAGCGGTTTCAAGTGAATGAGTTTTGTTTTACTTCGATTTTAGCAATATTCCATCAATATCATGGCGGGGAACACCAGAAATGGGCTTCACGCATTAACTAGCTATATGATGGCGGTCTGTAAATAATCTAGTCTGGACCAGAAAATCCAGTGATGGATATCATGAGCATCAATCTATGAATCTGGCATACGATGACATGCATCAACCAAGTCAGCGAGCCTGACCACCTGATCGCCTCTTACGACAAGCATGGGTTGCTGAAGATCTATTTTACCCCGAATCTTCACGTGATATCAGTAATGTACTTGCTTGTGTTGCTTATAGTTTACAATAATCCCTGTAATAGTAACATCATCATAATTAGTAGGAGTATAGAATTATCATCTTCATCAGTAGAAGTAATTGTATCAGCAGTATTTGTAGATATAATAGTATCAGAGTAGTAGTGGTGGTAGTTGTAGACGTCGTAACAGAAGTAACGGTAACAGCAGTTGCAACGATGTGTTGCAAATTTCAATAGTAATGTCAATAGCAGTTGAAACCTAAAGCAGGCAGCCCATAAGTGAAATATGTGAGGGCTCGTGAAGAACTACAATTGCCTGGAGATCAATAGCGACAGAATACAACGCCGGCAACAACACAACAAAGGAGACGTGATGAGCACTAAAGCTAATGAGATGAACATAAATCCAATCACCAAAACATCAAAACCCGTTTTCAAGACTAACCCTCTCAAACAACAATAATGTCCGAGCAGGCTTGACCATTACAACAAGTACCTATTACAACCAACCCTTCACAGATCATCAATTGATAATCAATTCTCAAAACGACTTCGCTGCAAAGATTTCACTCTTAGGATAATGGTTGTAATAGCAATAACGGTACAAGGCACAATACCTCCCATACTGCAATTCCAGGTCCCCGGCGTTCTTCGACCATCGGGTCTGTCACCTAGCTACTGTGGTCACTCAGTCCGGTCACTTGGTACGCTGACCACCCCAAGACCTGGCCATCAGCTGGTAGACTATTGTCGCTCTGCGGGGGAGCTTTTATTTCATTTGCCTTTCAATATTCTATAGCTGTGCAGCAGATGTTAAATGTGGATTGGCTTTTAGTGACTTTTGATTGACTCCTTATCAAAATATCCGATTAGTGAGACCTGAAACTGATTGTCACATTGTCAGACTGGCTAGGCGGATCGTCTCTTCGTTCACTTAATGGGATTACCATTTGCTTTGTACTTCCGTTTATGGGGTTTATGCAACAAACGTAAATATGACAGGGTCTCATAATTAGAAATGTGAGCGGCAGAAAGAATCAGAGATTTATGTTTAGCATATGACACTACAACATAACAACCGCGCCAGCCTGGTTAAAATTGTTATTCAAAATTATCACAATATGATTGCACCTCCAACGTCATATCAACGAACCATTACAGATGCAATTCAAATGCCGTGGAAAAGGAGTATACACTTGAAAATTGGATTTTACCAAACAAATTGCAAACGTGATCAAATCGTTACTAGGCTAAAAAAAGTGGCGGAAACACTACAAAAGGTCCAAGAAACAGCTGTGATACCCGTATCAAATACATCATCATCGAAAACCATTCCTTGTTTGTCTAATGTTTAGCAATCATCAGACCCTGGTGTTTACATTAACTTTCTTATACTTGGCAGTTACTTTTTCTGATCTACCATTTGACGACATTATCAGACACTTTCGTGTAGCGGGATATACTGTTTTGGTCATTTACGTATATTTTTGACACATACATATCTCTACAGATTATGCTTCAAACTTTAGATAATTGTTTCAACTATTTCCACAATGTATATAGAATTTTGTTCCATTTTTTCATGCCGGATATTTTGTGTATCAAGAATAATACAAATACAAATAAAAGTATTTCACGTCTTCCCTTTTTCATTGGGAAGAACAAAGCCTACTTTACCTTGCAAGCCATTGTGTGAAACAAAGGGTTAACATAGCGCAACGACGTTACACAGAGTGAGTGAGTGAGTTTGGTTTTACGCTGCTTTTAGCAATATTCCAGCAATATCACGGCGGGGACACCAGAAATGGGCTTCACACATTGTACCCATGTCGGGAGGCGAACCCGGGTCTTCGGAATGACGTGCGAACGCTTTAACCACTTGGCTACCCGACCGCCCCCGTTACACAGAAACACTGAAAACACTTCAAGGAAACGCTATCGCTCAATGTACGTCTGACGAAGGGCTTCAGATTACGGTCCATTAACGTTAGTCAGGTATAAAAAGCAAACAACAATCACGTTAATAAGTGTCATTTCTTTCCTTATGATGAGAGTCGGAATGGCTGAAATATTAACACGATGTCTCGCTATCGGATCTCAAACAAAGCGGCACATTGAACTATACATATGTGTCAAATATTTGATAATGTGCATTTATCTGAATCAACCACATTTCCTTCCAGCACATGATTTGATTATCCTTCTTTTGTACATATTTATCAGTAAACGGAAGTAATAACTTAAGGATACGATGTGTTAATATGTTGGACAAGGTTTTGTACAACAACAGATGAATCAACTCATCACCTCATCATATGTGAAACAAATTCAGATCCAGTTTATACTCGAAGAAACCACCACCGGTGTGACATGAGCATTTACAGATTGGCCAATTAAAACTGTATATATTTATATATAGAACAAGCACAGTAATGTTCTAACTCTCAGGCACAATATATTAATATTTAAATAAGTGAAGTAAGATTGAACACAGTTTTAATTGGCCAATCTATCTATCTATCTATCTATCTATCCATCCATCCATCCATCCATCCATCCATCCATCCATCCATCCATCTATCCATCTATCTATCTATAGATATAGATCTATAGATAGATAGATAGA